ATATAAACCGAGGTCCCGTGTCGCAGTAGGTGCTGGCACGAAAAAGATCCCTCCCTGCTCAATGGCCGTAAGTGCGGAGAAAAGGACAAAATTTGCAGCTCTCCACCGGCAAGTCGTGGCGTCTCCATACGAGTGAAAAATTCTCGAGATGGACGTTAAACAACATACAAACAAACAAACTGCTGTCAGAAAAAACCCCCAATAAATTACCTTCCTACCTACCCAACTTGAAATTTTAGGGTCGGGTTAGGGGAAACAAAGATATTTTTAATGATGGCCCAATCAAATTTTTATATCAATATTGGTATTTTTTATTTGCTTCAATATACAGTTTACATTTAATAATTCTATAAATCCAGGGGGGGGGGAGGTCCGACCCCCCCCCCCTTCCAGAACTGCGCATGCTCTTCTTTTTTCCCTAAGCGGTGGACACAAATTCTCTGAATTAACTTGTTTATTTCTGTTTGTATGAAATTTTATTTATAACTTGAAATATATAGCTTTATTCTACTTAGACGCACTTTTCCTGCTTGATGCTTTTCCCTTTATATCATTAATCATTTTTTAAATGTGTAAAATTTTGAACTTGTATCAAAATGGAAATTAACGTTATATGCATTATTATTTCTTTAATTAAAGAATAATTATGTAGAACTATTGTTTGATTGGAAGGATTTTGATATTGCATGTATTTACATATAAATGTATATTATTTTACCATTTACTTCTGATACCTTTTGAATTTGCAACGTTTCTAAGAATGAATCTATTTTGATTTTAACTATGCTGATATTTTTTTTTTATATTTTCCTAAATTGCTGGACATAGCTTTTTTTCCTAGAAGAATGTAGTAATGATTCTTTATACTTGGACTTGTGAATTGTTGTTAATCTTTCTTTATGTTGTATTACAAACGGTCTATATTTTGTGATTCATTATTCAATACAGAATTTCGGAATGAACTTTGGTAGCAATGTAGAATGTTCATATTTGAATAAATGTGAATAGAAAGTAAAATTTTATATCATTTGATTTTAAAATTTTTTATTGGCGAATGTTGGTTCTCTATGTAAGAAGGTCCATACCTTACTTTTTTAACACCCCAAGTGTTTTGTTAGTCGAATTAAAGCGATCTAAAGGCCTGTGGACTTAAAGCTGAACACGACTCGTAAATAGGCATACGCCATTTTCGATATTACTATCTTAGATATCAGCACCAGGGTATACTTTTCGGATTCGTTACACCTGACTGCTTTATTGTCACGGGTACCGGCGTGGAATGGCGACCCGTGTTCGTGCTGGTTATCATGCATAACCTTTGTTTACATTTTATTGGAGTTACGTATATTCGTGTTTGTTTGTACATACTGCGCTGAGCTGTGCAACTGTTGAAAGTGTCTTTGGTATCTACTCTCCTGAATTAGAAGAAGCACACAGTTATTTTTGTCGCTACCAAGTGCTGTATAGCATACGTCCGTCTACACCGGTGACGATTGATTACACTGAACAGTGACCAAGTGAGCGGCTCTATATATATATAGGGGCCCTCAGATACAGCTCGAGTCCAATCGAATATGACGGACGCATTCTTTTTACGAAGCGTGTTCAGCTTTAAATAGCTTGATGATGCACCAAAGGGTATTGACATTTTTTCATTAAGAAATAATAGTCTTGAACAGTTATTGACTATCTGATAAGGAATATCAACTTGGGGTATCATTACACGGCTGACACGTAAACAATAACGTTTAAACTACAAAGGTTCCTCCTTGAATTGTCATTGACTATTCATCATGTTTAGAATTTGATATAAGTATATCTTTTTCTTCAAAAAAAATAATCATCGAAGGTTTTTCCCAAAACATACCAAGCATCAGAGTCGTAATTTCAAAAGTCTAGGGACTCACTGCTTTTTGCAGATATACCTTATTAATCAAAGAAAGATGGACTATTACCAGAGAAGTTCTAATGTTGATCTCGTCATTTGTCCATGATTAAATATATGTTATACCTACTTGAGAGACAAATAAATCAGTAAAAGAATAATTAAGATTAGATTTAAGTTTGTTTAGATTTGATCCTTATACAAGTGATTGTATTTAAATGAAATTTTATTTATAACCAGAAATAAATAATAATTGATAGATATTTAACCATTATAATGCCTTTCTAGAGAATGGATGGACATAAGATATTTCGAAGATGTATTATCAATTAAGAATAGTTATATACTTTCATTAATATGACGATTCATTATATCCCAGTAAACTTGAAATTAAAGACACCACAGAATCTGCCTCATCTGTTTCATATTTGGATGTTTTACTGACTATAGACGATAAGGACCAACTAACAACTAAACTGTATGATAAACGAGATGATTTCAAATTTTCCATCGTCAACTTTCCTTATTTATGTAGTAAAATCTCGCTATCACCTGCATAAGGTGTTTACATCTCCCAAATTATTCCCTACCGAAGAACATGCTCCGAGTACAATCAGTTTTTAAACCGAGGTAGTCTACTGAAAGATAAGTTGATGTTACAAGGATTTCAACAACCTCGATTGAAGTCAGCATTTCATATATTCGATGGTCGTTATAATGACTTTGTTAACAAATATAAGCTATCATTGGGTCGTATTTTGGCTGACTTGTTTCAAACCGATTTTTAGGCCTTTGTATGCATACTGAATTTGACTACGGAATGTTTCCTATACCTGATCAATACATAGGGCTTACGGTGGATGTGACCGGTCGACAGCGGATGCTTACTTCTCCTTGGCACCTGATCCCATCTCTGGAATTTCCAGGGGTCCGTGTTTATGCCCTCTTCACAGATTTGTATTGTTTAATAATTTTTTGCGATCGATCACTGTTCGTTATCTTCGCCTTTTTCATATGGAGATAACTAACAGTATTAAGCTCAAAGTCCATGAGTCTTTAACCTAGGATAGACCCACAAGTTTTCATGAAAATGTAGATAAATCTTTTAAAAACAACCTTTTGAAGAGCAACAATATCGAAAGCGACTCAAATAAGCATTTTGGCCATTATGCTTCTTTGTATATTTTTCAGAAGAAAAAATAAAATATTTTTCCTACCTACCTACCCATTGTTAAAAATCTGGGTCGGAAAACGGCAAACAACAATTTTTGTTAATTTTGGCCTTGTATAAAATTTTAACATCTGGTGATATTAATACATTAGAGGTGTTTTTCCAGGATCTATTGGAAAGGCTTAAGAAGTTGAGATTGTGAGACTTTAAAAAGTTCTTATAAAGAAGTTTTCATGAGAAAATTTTTATGTTTTAAATTCTGTGTGTGAGTGTCTGGTGGAATTGCCGTTACATTTATAAATTTGTGCAAAATGTGTCTTGTTTATTTATTTTTTTTCGGCCTACCGACCCAAATATTAGAAAAAAAAATTAAAACCAACAACCATGATAAAAATTATGACCTCATTAGTCAAGGTCAAAACAAGATGCAGAATTCTTTGTCATAAAAACAAAGCTTAAGTCTTGCTCTCATTTACATAGGTTTTAAAAAAGTAACAAGTTTCATTCCCAAACAAACTTTTGTTTAATAGTTGTGAATAAAATGATAAATCTTGTTTTTTACGAGTCCTTGTATTTAAGATGTATGTAGTAATTTTTTCATGACATTTGTTAACTAAAACATGACAGGAGCTTGCATAAAAAATTCTGAGCTCTTGAATTCTGACAGTCATATTTTAGTAAAGCATTAAAAACCACAAGTTAACAATTCTAGAAATTAAAGTTAGAAAAATAAAACAAGATTTCTTTAGCTCAAAACGTGTCTTATTAAGAAACAAAAATGAAATGCATTCGTATCACTGCCAAAGACATCGGAGCGAAGGTCTTGTAAGCCAAATGTTGCCAGCCAACCAACAAATCTTTTTCTCTCTCTCACTCTCCCTCTCTCTCATTGCCATAGACGGTATTGGCTTATATTTTATTTAGATTTGAATAATTGGCGTTTCATAAGTAATTTTTCAGATGGAGTTGTCAAAATTCTTTGTTCAAAAAATAGGGGGCTTGGAGTCGTACAAAATTATTTCCCTTGAAAAAAGTTGTGTTCCCTGACTACTGAAGTCATTTTCTTTAAATGTTTATCGTGAAAAAAACGTCGCTGGTTAATAATTTGATTCAAGTTCTTTCAGTAAGAGTAGCATGTGTACTTCACGGTATTTATGTTTGTGAAATTGTGAATCAATTGGATTGAAAGTATACAAGTACAACCATAGAAATGCACATTGACTAAGGGAATTCATATGCCAGAGCTTCAAAGCTTTAATCTATAGGCCAACCCCTACTACAGATTACGGAAATTGTACCTACAGGATTTTTTAAGGGTTAGTGTTGAGAATGTGAGAAAGACCTGTGTTTTGTGATCTTTAGGGTACATGCACGTGCACCTTTTGCAATCGATTGACATACCTATCGTAACTTTGTAGTTGATTTCACATCCTCCAGAGCCATCTTTCTTCCTGCTTGAAACTTTGGTAGTGTTGCAAGTAATCGTGATAAGCTCGCCAATCCGTAAAGTTTCTCGTCAATGATGTCCCTCAGATGAGGGACCAACATTGTTTGCACTGCATTTGTTCAGCTAAAATGCCCAGGCCAACAACACGACAACCTATTGTCCATTCACTTTCACTGTCGGATCTGCATGTAGTTTTGGTTGCCACCAGTGTGTCATCGTTGTAATCATAAACTATATTTTCTACGTCTGTTTTTTGGCATAACTATGATCAAAGATTTTGTCTGAAACATGATGCTGCATTAAATTAAAATTATAGTAATCCTGTCCTTTTTCTGCCTTTTTTGGAAATGAATTTACCTTTCTTATCACGGTATGTGATATAGACCGTCTGACGTTTGCCATTCTGATAAAATAAGCGTCGGGCACGTGCTGACGTTATAACATCACTAACGTGAATAACGTCATATAGCGTTATTTTACGTGGTATGGATCATTACCTTAACACTTGTCCAAATCATCGGAGAGTCATCTTCGCTAGCCAAGGGTTTTCGGTCCACTCCGCTCCCCATAAACCCTTGGCAGATTTCATTACGAAAATACGGTGATGCGGTGGCGCTATCTAGCGACTAACTAGAGTTGCGCCCCTTGAAACTTCATTTTCATATCCAATGAAATAATGGGTTACATACACGCTACGGCAAAACAACAAAAGTGAAAACATGTTGACTGACGAATCACGGAAAAGAGTTAACGACACTTTTAAAGTAAAATTACGAGAAAACCAAGAGAAAGCAATTAATGCTGTGTTATTAAATCGCGATGTGTTCGTTGGGACCCGCACCGGGAGTGGAAAATCGCTGGTATATGAAAGCATTCCTGTCATAAAACCAGGTATCGTCGTCATTGTAGCACCTCTCTTGTCAATAATGAGGGAACAAGTTGAGAAATTGAACAACTTTGGACTTGCTGCCACTTACATTGGGAAGAACGTTGAGGAAAATGAAAAAATAGAGGCGGGGCAATACGATTTCGTAGTTGGTAGCCCCGAAAGACTGATTGGTGAGAGGCGGTGGAGAGATATGTTCAAGTCAGAGGAGTATAGGAGGCGGCTACAGTTGTTAGTCGTAGATGAGGCCCATACAGTAACACTTTGGTATCTCATAACGATTTTTATTTCTTTTATAATGTGTAGTTTAGTGTACAAATGATTTAAATGAATAATGTATAACATGTATAATGAAGGAAATGTAACTAGTACATCATGTCTGTAAAGGCAAGTACAGTCTTAGTAGCATGTACCTCAGTCCTCATGTAGTCCTATCAGAATCAAACAGTTGGGACACTAACTCTATTTAGCTCAATAGCTTCATTGTTATGATTAAAAGGTCAATTGCTTTAATAATAGTTTTCAAACATGCATGCATGCATCAACATGCTTATCTAACAGCACTGGTTGATTTTAGCATATACATTAGGAATTAGTTCACAAAAGTATTAAGTTTGTGCCTTCCTGATTACATATATCTTGTATCACGTTGATTAAGGTCCTGTTTAATCGAAAGTCCCAGCTATACTTTTTATTATGATGTTGATGATCTCACCTTGGATTATCGTAAATTTCTTGTGACAGAGCAAACAAGTATTTACAAATTAATACCATATAATACATTTGAAATTATTAAACACCATATACATGTATTTTAAGAATCTTGCATGTCATGGATTTTATACATATACTTCTTAATTCTAATTAGCAGAATAATTTTTTCTGGGGAGAGGGAAGGACAGATGAAGATCCTTTTAGGGAGTGGTTTTCAAAGATTCAGGAGCTGCGATCTTTATGCCCAAATGTTCCTGTCCTTGCTCTTACTGCAACTGCTGGACCAACTCAGAGGAGTAAAATTTTAAAATGTCTATGCTTTCGACCAGGTTATGAACTTGTTCTTGATTCGCCTGATAGGAGAAATATTAAGATTACTGTGAAACCAATTAAAAATAATGATACTATAGACAAAGTTTTTGACTGGCTTATTAAAGACTTGAGACACCACAGAGAACAGTTACCAAGACATGTGGTCTTTTGTAATAGTATAAGTGACGTTACAAAGATTTATTTTGCATTCATTAAAAATTGCAGACAAAATAGATCAAACTTTGAAATGTTTCATAGTAAAACTGATGACGAAATCAAAAACAAAATTAGAGAAGATATGGCTACTGAAGGTCACATTAGAATACTTATTTGTACTAATGCAGCCGGAATGGGTGTCAACTTCCACCAAGTACATAATGTGCACTATGGGATACCCAGGGAGTTGGAGACTTTCGTGCAACAAATGGGTAGAGGTGGGAGGGATGGAAAACCTTCACATGAACTTGTATTGTTTAAGGCACATAAAGGTTACTTAAAACATGTTGAACCAGAACTTGTTCGAATTGTCAAAGATAACAGTGTATGTCGAAGAAATATATCATGCAATGCTTTTCAGACGAAACATTGTGAACTAACACCTTTACATGCATGTTGTGATGTGTGTGAGAAAAAGTGTAAATGCCAACTGGATACCTGTCCAGAATCGCATGTTGCCATGAAAGATGATGAAGAAGGAGGATCTTCCGAAGATGAGATGGAGCGAAATGTTTCAGTTGAAGAAAGACGTCTTCTGACACAAAAGTTGGAATCCTTACAGTTTACTTTGTCTGACAAATCAAGCGGTGGGCTTCTTAATTCAGAGTTAGTCAATGGATTTACAGAAGAACTAGTGAAAAATATTGTTTCTAAATGTCATGTTTTGTTTACTGCAGAAGACATTATGCAAAAATTCCCTATTTGGTCTTTCTGTATAGCTCAGGAGATTTGTAAAATAATACTTGATGTATTTGGAGACGAAACAATGTACAATTTAGTAGACAGTGATAGTTCCACATTTCAACTTTGTACACAACCATTCCCCACGATAAATTAAAGTCCAGGCTTGTTGATATCATTGACAGCTGCTTTTTCAATAAAAATGGAACTCGTAAATATACTTACCTTGTCATTGGTTATTTGCAAAATTATTTTGTTAAAAACATTCTGATTGTTCGCACAAGTACTCTGAAGTTGACATTAAAAGGATGCTCGAGTTTCTAATTGACAATATCTATGTGGTTTTTGGAGACCAGGTCTTCCAACAATCTATTGGAATTCCCATGGGTACCAATTGCGCCCCGTTATTAGCACACCTTTTTTTGTATTCATATGAAGCAGAATTTGTCCAAAATCTTGTACGTGAAAAGAAAAAACACTTGCTGTGGCCTTCAACTCGACATTTAGATATAGCGACGACGTATTGTCAATTAACAATGGCTATTTCCATTCTTATGTCGATACGATATATCCTTGTGAACTTGAGATAAAAGATACCACAGTGTCTGACACATCTGTTTCATATTTGGATATTTTACTTGAAAAAGACGTTAATGGTAATCTAACAACCAAGCTTTATGATAAACGTGATGACTTTAACTTTTCAGTCGTCAACTTCCCTTACTTAGGCAGCAATATACCTTCATCACCTGCATACGGGGTATATATATCTCACAGTTGATTCGATACGCAAGAGCATGCTCTACGTATGTACAATTTCTAAAACGAGGTAAATTATTGACAAATAAGTTGATTAAACAAGAATATCAGCTGTCTCGTTTAAAGTCATCATTTCGTAAGTTCTATGGTCGATACAATGACCTTGTCAGCAAATACAATTTATCATTGAGTCAAATGCTGACTGACGTTTTTCACACTAATTGTTAGGCCATTATTTACACACTGAATTGTCGACGGATTTTTCCGTTATTTCCCGATCATGACAAGGAGCATACGGCAGGTGTGACCGGTCGGCAGGGGATGCTCACTCCTCCATGGCACATGATCCCACCTCTGATGTTTGGATGTCCGTGTTTGCTCTGCTCCTATTTCGTATTGATTAATGGACTTTTGAGCTTGAATACTGTTCGTTATCTCCATATATTTCATCAGAAAATTGACTGTTGGAAAAAAAATACTAATATTGCAGAACAGTGCAACTATACTATAAAGTCATGTATGAACATCTTTTCATTTTTCAGTTCAAGCATTACATTTTATAAACTGTTTTTTCCACATTGGGACTCCTTTTATTATTATTATTTTGCTTTGTGATATTGTCAATAAAATTATGCCTCGAAATAAAGTTTTCAAACTAAACAAAATATTCTAGGTATTGAAAAAAGTGTTTTAGATATTTAAGGTTTTGGACATCTATATATTAGATGTTTGAAAACAATTAAAGAAAATAGAGAGCTGACAATAATAGAAAGTTTAAAATGAAGGTGGAAAACAGACCTAATGAAGAATGGAGTGATAAACAGGCCTACCAGGCCCCAGTATCATGAAGCAGACTTAGAAATAAGTCAAATTTTTAATCGCCTGTAAAATGTTTATTGCTTAATAATTATTGAATTCAATATCAAAATTTGCAAATTACAATAATTTTGTGAATTGATATTGAAACATTTTAATTTTGAGTTGCTTGACTTCCACAACATTTAAGTATAATATAAAAATTTGGACTTGAGGTTAAGATGTTTCATGATCCCGGGGGGCAGATTTGTAAAAACCAAAATATCTTCAGATCAACTTTATAATATTTATTGGTAACAGAGAGAGAGAGAAAAAATATCATTGATGACCTTGTGCAATGATAGATATTAAAATTTATTCACTTTGACCTTGTGACACCAAATCTCCCAATTGTTTTTATTCTTTGACCAATTTTAAGGTTCACTGACCTTTGATAAGGGAGACAACTCTCATTGGGATGATAACTATTAAACTTTCCTATATAAACTTTGAAAAGGTCATTTCAGTCTTTTGCAGTATGAGGTTTGCTAAAGTTGTTTATTTTTAATGGAAGATATCTTTTGGAAAATCATTAGCTCAAAGCTTAAACTATATGAACTATAAAAGCTTAATCATATGACCAACTTCCTTAATTAAAAAAAAAATCATGTTCATATTTTTTTTAATAAAGGTTTAGACTTCAAATATAGGGTAATAGCTTTCAAACAAGCATATACATATATCCACTCCCTCTAATGTAGAAATGACACTGTAATAAATATCGAACAGCTTCTTTAAAATGCTAGCAATAAAATAACAGTAACAATGCTCAGGTCAACAAATAATCTTGATTACATTTCTAACTGAGCACTTCGTAAGACAGCCTCTCTCTATTTTCTGTAATCCAGGCATGCAAATTTACAACTTTAATGCGAGAAAAAAAATCAATAAAACCTGGGAAATTAACAAATTCTCTACCAGAAATGTAGTCGAACATTTTGGCATTGTTCAGTTCAGTCACCATTTCCAAAATGTCTGAGATTTTATTTGCTTCAGGTATTCTTGATCCTGATTTTTTTCTTATTGCATTGTGTTTGCAAATTCTCTTTAATTTCTTCTTGAATTTGAGTTGTGAGTGCAGCTTTCGGAACACTTGCAAATGTTGCATTGGCTCCTTGAGAGTAAATTTTTTTCTTCACAGTTTGGACCATAATTTCTAGTAAATTATCATTTGGAATGTTCTTTCCCATACCCCCTTGCAAATTTGCAGAGCAATTCCACTGATACTCATAGGCCATTTTTGGTGATAAGATGCAACTTATGTAGGCCAAATACCTAAACAGCCATAACTGATACTTGTTGTGTTTTCCAACACGGGAGAGAAGCATCTGATTTGCAGTATCCATAATCACAGATTCTAGCCTATATTCTGGTGTCGAGGAATCAAAAAATGGACTTTCCTTGACCTTTTCAAGAAGACTATTTAAAAGTTTCAAAGAGACAGAGTAAAATTTGGTGCGAATATGATGTAGTCCTAATTGTTGATTTACGTAAGGTAGTAATGAATCAAAAGAGACATCGTGTATTAAAGGGTTATTGTAAGACCGATGCCCATGACTACGGTTACGTCTCTGTGTATGGTTCAAAAGTCCTATCACATTTACATTGTTACACTGTGGACTGGAAAGATTTCCAACAGTATCGACATTGTCATTACATCCATAGGGAAAGGCTGTCCCTAGCTTTCTCATCCAAAATTCTTCTCGTTGTCTACGAAAAGGTGTACTCGGTGATGGACTATTTGTGTTGTGGTAAATCTTTTCTAGAATTCTGACTGTCATTGACAAAATAAAATGATCAGGTAAATTAAAATGTTTGTATAAAAGTTGCTGACCCCCATTATTTATCTGATATGACCTGATATTCTTTTATTGAGTGATCCCTTGGTTTCACCAACATAAACAAGTCCATTAAGATTGCATTCTATTCCGTAGACAACATTAGAAGATTTGCAGTTCAGATTTTCCCAAGTTATGGTACAGAAGCTCTGTCCAGTAAGATTACTGGTGAAAGAAGTGTTAGTTATCAAAATGTCACAGGTTTTACAATTTTTCGCAGAACATTTTGAAATAGATTGTTTTATTGATTTTTGTATTTTTATCACAAAGACACCCCAAAATTATCCATTATGTTTCACTCAATCAATGAAAGTTAAACTGGAATGTAAAATAGTGGATATCTTAACACATTTTAGTAATAAACAGAAAGAATTTAAAACAAAATAAACTTATGCCAAGTAATATGGCGTCTTTGTTTTGCCAAGTAATATGGCGTCTTCTTTGTTTATCTTCAGTAACGAAATCTCGCGGAATACTGTAGGCCTATATGTATTATTTGCATTTAGTGTTTTATTATTCTTGGGGAAACAAATTATCTAACCTAATGAATGTTTGTTTCATTTCATTTTAAACCTGGCCATGAAAACCCTAATGTTTACCAAATTTTAACACTTGAGTAATATTTTTTGAAACAAGTATTTAATGTCTTTTACACATTGTACCGCCGATTTGCATCGTCATAAATCAATGTCTATGATAGTTATTGCAAAGAAACTTGTACCTAATTGTCATCACAATTATGATAATACAAAGTAGAGGGTTATTTTATACAATTCACTATTAAATTCAAGTATTGAAAAAAATCAGTTTAACAACAATTCAAATCTTCCAAACTTGTTCTCAGTCTAAATGTTCTTGTTATGAGTTAAAATTTTACGTCTTTTTTTCCAAAAATTATTATTATTGACATCATCATTGTATATAAAATCACTATACAGATATGGTCTGTTAATGTCTGCACAAAATTCGGGCCAACCGAGACTGAAATTTCTTCATGCTCGATTCAGCTGGTCTATCATTTCTGATGGAAATTGATGAATTTTTGTGCACTCCATCTTTGTCGTAATGGTTGGGGTAGTGAATATCGGAAAAAGTCGCAACGCACTGTTTATGATTTCCGTATATGTTTGCCGATTAGCTCTCTTTTCCAATCAAATGTATTTTTATTTAGTTCAGGTTTTTATAGGTATTTTAGACATAATGTATAGATTTGTATATTACCAAGAAATTTTGATTCTATTATTTATCTAGAAACTTCAGCCCAATTCAATTTGTAAAATGCAAAGATTTGAATGTCCTTATATGCAAGAAGATTTGATGTGATGATTTGTTGCAACTAATGCTCCTTTTTGAATTATACTGTGTATTTAAAATGCACTGTGCCATTCATTACGTGTTGCATTGTCGAGTTTTGGGGGAGCCTGGAGTATGTGAGCTTGCTCACTTTTTCTTTCATTTTTCAAATACTCTCCCTGTCAAAATCTCAATCTCATACAATTTAAATGCCACTGTTTTAAGACAATTCACAACACCAACAGTATCTCCATAGGTTTTCTAGGACTGGACTCAACACTGATGTCATTGCCACCTAAACTTAAACAG